CTGGCGCACCCAAAAAGTATTATTTTTTCTATTCTACAGAATTTTTCCTTTTAATTGTTATTCTGTAATGCATCGAATCTTTTGAATAAGTTTTTTATTCAATCATATTTTAGAAATTTCAAAATCCTTTTAAAAAAATCATGACGTCAGAGAGAAGAACTAAAAACGCCCCCTAGTTTTGTGAATGTTTTGATTTTTTCATGTGTAAAATTGACTGTTGCACGATGTAATGTACGTAGTGAATAGTTTTTCCCAGACTTTTTATTTTAAGGACATAAATACTATGTAGATACAAACAAACAAATAGCACATTGCAATGCAACTTGTAACTACATATATGTATGTACTTGAGGTTCTGCGTTGTATTGTGCTAAGAACAGATGAAAAAAATATTCACGCAGAAATCAAAGAAAATTACTGATTCAGTTTTAAGTCTATTCGTCAGTAAGTTTGTCATTTTCATAGTTTACGACTTAGCTTCATTTTCTGCTTTCAAATAAATGAAAATGTCGACTCTCTCATTGTCATTCTACCATTTATACTACACTTACATAAATGTCTTACAACTCGAATATCTTTAAACATTAGCATAATTTCATTTGGACTCTTCACTGTCTTCATCATAGGCTCGCACTTGTTTATTTTGATGGAGCTGCTTTTGTTGCTATATTTGTAATTACAATCACTTCATCCACACTGAAATCATTAGCATTTACTTATATTACTTTCTTTGCGGCATTTAAGTGCACTTGATTTGCAAGGTAGGGAAAAATTTCAATTTTCATAAATTACTTACCTCTGAAGATGCTTTGGGAAAATTTTAACAACGCACAGTGCCGCCTAAGTGGGCAAAAATCGAAAAATTCGTTATCTGCAATGTAAACTTGTTTGGTATTTTTGTAAAGATAATTTATCCACATAGACATTTCCCTAAATAATTAATTATATGCCACCAGGAAGCCACTGAAGCCGTTAAATTTTATACTAAGAATTTTAATAAGAGCATGCTGTCAAAAATATATTCTTTGAAATCAAATGTTGGTTTGACGTTTCTTGTTTCCATATAGATAAAATTAAACACAGGGTGTCCCTGCGGTATTCCAGAAAACCCATTTTTTTAACGAAATTTCAAAAAATGCTAAATTTTAATGGAATGAATAAAAAATATATGTAAAAATAGGTTATTTTTTATTATTTTATTAAATAGTACGGGCTGTTAGCTTTCAAAAGAAGAAATAAAAACCTGTATTTTTTTGCACTTTCTGAAGTAATCCGTTTTTCGCTAATGCATAAATAATTTTTTAAATTTTTGTCAGTGCCTTGAGATCTGCCCGATTCGTTCCATTTTCAAAACTGAAGTGTCAGAGTAAAAAGTTTGACCTGTGGACAATAGAAGGCTTATTTTTTTCCATTTCCCGTTTTTTCCCGTTAAAAAATTAGATGGCTAAAAAATAAGATTCAAATCTTTTTATATTTTAAACGAATTATTAAGAGATGGGTATCAATCGAAATGTGTACTAACTACATATAGAGAATTGTCACTTGTTTAAAAAATGAAATTCCACTTGAATTACATTAATTAGGTAATTGAAATACATAGGTCTCACCATAAGGGAGTCAGATGTTTGTAAAGTCGAATTTAGTTAAACTAAAATAATAATTACGTCAAACGATAGGATTACGCCATCGTATTTGTTATTTTATTACAAATACCTACATTGTCAATCAGTGATTTATTCTGATTACATTCCTTTTAAATTACTGGACTGTTAAATTATCTAAGGAATGTTTTTACTCATCACTTATTTCTTGCTAAATATGTAAAAGTTTTTCATTTGGCTGATACTCATATTGATGCACATATTTCAGTTACCTTATTCCCTTAATTAAAGTGAATTTGATTTTTTAAACATGTAGCCGCGAATAACAATGGAAAACTCTCGATCTGGACAGTTTATAGTTAGCGTAAACGAACATAGCGACACAGGATTCTTAAGGACGTTGAGAGAAGCATAGAAAAAATTTTGATGAAACAAAGAAAGTTGTTTTTCTCTGGTTCAAAACTATCCTATATTTTAAGCTGGAACCAACAATACACACCCACAAAATTTCATTGAAATCAGTTAAGCGGTTTCGGAGATTAGCGTAAACGAACACTCCCAGCAAAAAACACGGTTACTACAGAAACGAAAGTGGAAGACATTATTTTAACATGGACATGTCATTGGCGATAAGCCCTTACCCACAGCATTACCTTCGAATGAAGGGATAACGCATGGATAAACAGAATCCAGAGAAGCGAAGCCTTACAGAGCAACTAATGTAGAATGCCTAGATAAGTACATACTTATTTATATTAAATTGAAATCAGAAAATGTCTTAAACGATTAAAGTTAATTAAACATTTTATAAACCAGTTTTTATACCTACATATGTATATATTTAGGTTTTTAGTTGTTTCTTAAAAATCGGTATGTACATAAATACATGCATATTTAACTAAGCTTAAAATTGTACTTCCTCACTCTTGTACTGCACTTTACTGACTGACTTCAACTTCGCTGTAAATTGAACAAAGCAAAACATGATTTTTATGTGAGATAAATTTCCACAGAAAGTAACGGTAGAAACAAGGCGCATCATACAAGGTGGTGTTGATTGATCAGCTGATTGGATATTTTTGTCTCTACACTAGTACAGGAGAATGTCATCCAAGACGAAGTGGCGCAACTTTAGGATGTCAACAAAAGAAAATTATGAAAATTATCTCATATTCCGTTTTGTTCTGACATCCTCCTGTACCAAAAAGCAATAACAAAATACACCACATTGTATGGATGCGCCTTAGGTAGAAAAATAATTTTTGGATATTCATTCTATTTTTCAGCTAACTACGATGCAGCATTCTACCTTGCATTCTCCGAAATGAAGCAAAAAAGCGAATTAAAAAAGAAATATTATAGGACATTCTACTTTGCATTCCCCGAAATGAAGCAAAGAAGCGAAAGAAATAAAATACTGAAGGATATTCTACTTTGCATTACCACCAGTGCTTAAAAGAAGCGAAAAAATTCGAAGGAATTATAACGCTATGCCATCTAGAACACGTTACCACTAAAAACGATTACCGATTTTATGCTGGGCAGTGACACGGGATTTTTATACATTAAGATATATCATAGGTTTTGCATTTTCCGACGGACGGTTCGAGAAGGGGGCGTGGTTACAGTCCGATCTCATCCATTTCCATAGATTGCTATGGAACCTATATACCAAATTTCGTTGAGATAGCTCAATTATCGAGTTATCATGTGCACGGACAGAGGGACGGACGAACAGGGGGACGGATGGACAGACAGGCATGGCATAGTCGACTTCTCTTTTCATTTTCATTTATGTATATATTTGTTTATATCTATCTCGATTCCTTTAGGCTGTTACAAACAACCGTTATGCGAATAAAGCTATAATACCCTGTGCACAACTGCGCTCGGGTATAAAAATTCTCCATAAACTGTATAGTATACACCACTTTTCGACAGCCGTGATAGTTTCTGAGAAGTTAGTTAACCATTCCAGATTTTTTGGTTTTTGATGAAAAAGTCGAAAAATTCAAACTTTAACAGGAAAAATATAAAAAAAAAGTTTCTGTGTTAATGTTTTGCACTTGTGTTAAATCCTGTTCCTTTAGAAAAAAATTAAGCTACCAATGAAGAAAATCGATAGATAAATAAGAACGTAAGGATTGGTGAAATGAAAATGCGCAAGAATTTTTTTAATGAAATATGAACAGAAAAGAGTGTTACTCATACGCCACGTACACCTGAGTAGGGAGAGAGTTTGCATTGCAAGCAAGAGGTGTCAGAATTGATTAACTGAAATAACGGTAAATTGCAAATATCTCGAAAAGTTTTCCATAGAAAAAAGTATCTCCATTTTCGGAATCACCGAGCAATTCTACATAGGAATGGGATAGTGGCATCTAAGGAACATTTTTAGTGTAAACCAAGGATGCTCAACAAACGAAACGATACCATTTCGTTTCGTTAAAAAGCAAAATTAACTTAACAAAAAGATTTTGTTACGTTTTGGCGCCATGTTATCAAAACGAAATCAAAGCGTTAATGTTGAAACGTTAAAAAATTAGCGTTAACGTTAATTTCACACTGAGCTGGCAACGCTTCAACAAAACACGATGAGCTTTGTATTTACACGAAGGCTCACGATATAAGCTTCGGTTGATTTAATACATCATAATTAAAAAAAACCGTAAAAAGAAATAACTGACAATGAGAACAAAGCGGGACAATGCAATTCGTCACTTTTATACGGCAAATATAGATGGAAAAATGACATGCAAAATATGTGGTCAGAACCTTTCTACTGATCACCTGGGAAATCTAAAGTCGCATCTATTCCGAAAGCATAAAAACGAATACAGCGAGCATAATGCATGCATGGAAATGAAGACCATTCAAGAAGATATAAAATATAAAATCCTGTTACAGATGTCCAAGAACGACGTTGAAAACTTGTGTGCTGCTTTTGTAACTGAATGTGGCCTTCCCTTGCGAGTTTTCAATAGCAACGCTTTCCAAAAGTTATTAGGCCCCATTTGTGAGCAAGTTGGGCTACATAAAATTAACAGAAACAATATACAACATATTTTGAAAAAACAAATGCAAATCGAAATCGACCGTTTAAAACAATTTTTCAAAAATCGAGTTTTTTCCATAAAAATTGATAGTGCTCAACGTTTTTACCGCAATGTTGTATGTGTTAATGCGCAACTATTAGATAAGGGAGAAATAGTTGTTAAAACTCTTTCCGTGAAAAATTTCACAGAAAAGCATACAGCACACAATTTAAAACAAATAATTTTGGAGACCTTAGAAAAGTAGGTACACATATTTATTTGAAGCTCTTTATTGTTTAACGTTTGCAGATATGATATTTGTATCGAGCAAATATACAGCATTACAAGCGACAACGGACGGAATATGATAAGATGTGGTACGCTTTTACAGAACGAGACTGAACATGTCGAAAGCACGTTTGACCATGACGAGGATGAAGCCGAAGAAAATATGGATTTTATTCCATGTGATAATATTTTCGACGATCCGCTGTTTGATAATTGCATGGCTACTCACTTCAGTAAGGCGTATAGTTAATGAACATACTTTTATAATAAACCATTTTATTTCAGATACTCTCTCTGTTATAAGATGTGCCGCGCACACTTTGCAGTTGAGTGTGCACGATGTTTTAAAACATGCAGATGTAAAACACATGTTTGAAGAATGCCGTGCAATTGCAAAAAAGCTCCGCACACCAGCAATGCATCGAATTCTAGTCAAGTATAACTTGCCACCACCAATTGCTGAATGCCCAACACGTTGGAGCTACTCGTACAATTTAGTACAACGCTTAAAAATGCTTCAAGAATTCATCAAAAACAATTTTGAAAATCAAACCATAGACTGGGATTTTGTAGACGATTTTTTAAAAAGCTTTTCTGTTATGAAAGTGGTGACGGAAAAGCTTCAAAATCACAACTTACTTTTCGGCGACTTTATAAAATTCTTTTTAGAAACTTGCTTAACGGTAAAAAAAGGTTCCGAGCACTCAAACATTTCAAAACTATTGTTCAATTCAATGAACGAACGAAAAAAAAATTTACTTGGTAATCCAACAGTGGCTGCAGCTATTTACCTAGACCCTAGGCTACATCGTTTGTTGCAAAGTTTGGAATTCTCGCATATGAGACTAGTAGCCATTGAACATCTGAAAGCGTTACATTTGAAAGTTAGTGCTCTGTCTACACAGGTAATAGCCATAGTAATGTTTGTAAATTCCTCAAAATTAAAAAAAAATGCATCACTTTTTACAGCTCGGACAAGACATCAGTGTTACAATAGAAAGCGAGGACAATAGTGAGGATACAGATTTGCTTGGAGAACTTCTAAATCAAATAAGTTCAACTACATCCAACGATTCATGCATTTTAGAAGGATATTCAGCTATTGAATCATTCAATGAATCAACAGACACAAAAGAAAATTTAGCTGCCTTTTGGGAACGAAAGAAATATACACACAAAAACTTGTATCAGCTTTCCCAAGTTATCCATGCAACTCCGGCAACGCAAGTGAGTGTAGAGCGTGCATTTTCTACACTTAAATACATTGTAAACGACTACAGGTCAAATTTAAGTGATGATTTGACCGAAACTATTTTACTATTAAGGTTAAATAACAAATAAACTCACACTGCGTATATACATACAGTCACTCACAGAAGTATCCGTAATTTAGTTTTTTCAGAATATTCAAAATGCTTTCCATCATAAATCTTTTTCGTTAAAAAGTTTGCGAAAATTATTTTTGCAGTTTTTGTTACAGAATGAGTTATATTTTAAATGAAAATTATAGAGAAAGAATAATGATGTATAACATTTTGAATATTGTGAAAAAACTAAATTACAAAAACTTCTGTGAGTGACTGTATGTAAGTTGTATGGTAGGATTAATTCATGAACACTCGCTTGTAAACACTTATGAACACAGCTGTAAATGAATACCCATACACATAATATCAAGCAAATATCAAGATAATTTACAAACTTAATGCCAAAACTGTGCCATTGTCAATCACTATTTTCAGTTTTTTTAAACTAAACCGGAAGAGTATTTTTTTTATTTAGTTTGTTTTTTACAGATGTACATATATGTTTGTATGTATGTACACACACTAATGAATTCATGTTTTCATTGTAGTTTCAAATACAGGAATAAATTAATAAATAACAATGAAAATTCTCCACTGAAGCATTTGTTTAAAAGTATAATTTCTCAGGATACAATTTCTTGAAAGAGCGAAGCTGTTTGCTTCTGCAACAACGAGTCTCACGTTCAGTCATTTGCGAATTCGGCAACATTTGTGGATTTAAAAGAGATGTGGTGAGGTAGTTCTTAAATGCATTTGATTTGCTCCACCAAAAGCGGCTCCGGTACCTGCATTATTGATTTAATTGCGCTTATCGAGTCTGCAAGTACGCTCCAAAATTAACTCAGCCATCTACATAGTAATTATTCTTAATTGTAGCGGCGATCACGCATTTTGGAGATCTCTCAACAAATTGTACCAAGTAATGTCTGTGGCTGGAAAGAAAATTGATGATATGCTTTGCTAATTATTAATATTATTGCATAAATACCTTAAACAAACGCGATGTAATCTTTTTGATCATATTTTTCCGAACTTAATTGATAATTCGACGACTTTTGACTTTTATTTAAAATTTCCTGCAATCGTATTCACTGGGCTTGTTTATGTATTTTCACACAGCTGACTGCCAGCGTTGCCGCGAGCTTGAAAAAAAGTTCAGTTGCCGAGCAGAAAAAGTATCAAAAAGTATCAAAAGTAATCAAAACTGTTATTTGTTAAACTTGTATTTGAAAACCAAATAAATAAAATTGTATAATTAAACCCATAGTAACAAAAAAATTTAAATTACTTGCTTTAACAAAATCAGAGAATCTGTATGCTTATTTGCATAACGAAAAACTATTTTATATCAAGTAAATATGTGCAACAATGCGCATTGTATATTTTATTAGTTTCAGCTTTAAAACGAGAAAAAGGGTATTAAAAAAAAATTTTAGTTTTTTCTACGATCTTATCCATATTTTATAGCACGATTATTGTACAATAACACAAGCATGAGCAAGATATCAAAATGATTTTGATTTTAGCTAAATAACTGTGCAATTTAGTACAAACGACGCAAGCCCGGTATTGCGCAATGTTTTTGTGTGGTTTAGGGGCCCTATAACAGCGGCGTGTGGCAAAGAAATTCCGGATTGTATTTCCCTTATAAGAGTTACCAAATCAAACTTATAAATATCTACATATATATAAATTTTAAGACTTTTAATAACAAGAAAAAAATTATTTGCCTTTAAACTAGTAATATTATCTA